GGGGGGGTGGGGAGGGGAGGAACAAACACTTGGCTATTACCATGATTCAATTAGCAGAGTTAGACCAACCTGCCCGAAATTTTTAGGAAGAAAAATCTAAAGCTGAGGTTAAGACACGGCATTTAGGTGCTTGATAAACTTTTGAGAATGAAGGAATGTCTGATCTTGACTTTAGCCTCCAAACTTGAAAAAACCCAACCAACCAAAAAAAACCCCTCATTTTTTTTCTTGTCAATTGCAAATAGTCATTAAACAGACATTAAAGTGAAATTTTTGTAATTGGAAGAGAAGCATGTACTTGAAGTACTTGATAGCTGCTTGTTACCACTTCATCTCCATTTGACAAGAGTCAGGAGCACAACTTTAGAGTTATCTGTAGTATGGGTGTAGGCAAGTAAATAACACCTCATAGAAAATTTGTGTTTGATTTCAGAGGGTCACAGTGTTTGACAAAAACACTGTCTGCTGTATACATTGTAACTGCTTCTGGTGTCCTGTGGATTTTTTTGTGGCCCCTACTTCAGAAAAAAAGTGAAAGTAAATGGAATGAAATAAAGTAAAGGCAGACAATCATCTTTTTTGAAGTAATAAGGATTCAGTGAATAATTTTTTTTTTTGAGTTTGTGGGGTTTTGTTAGCTGAATGTGCTGCATAGTCCTCACCTTCATGATTTGGGAGGTAATTAGAGGATTTGTAATATCCCACTGGTTTGATCACAACTTCTGCTCGTGACATTTTATAATGAGTGTATAGCTTATAAATAACATTTTGAAGGTATAAGGTTATGCAGAGATAATTGCACAGCTGAAATGCATTGGCACAAGGCCAAAGGCTAAGCACTTTCCACCATCCCTTCTAAATTGAATAACTTCACTTTATGAAGTGTGTCATCAGAAATTGTTTTCATTACTCCCAGAGGGCAAATTAAGGTTAATAAAAATCCAATTCCAGATTATCTGTATGTGTGAATCTTTGTATTTTTAGAACCTTTCTTTGTTCTAAGACTGTGTATATGTGAATACAAGCACGTAGGTCATAGTTTCAGCTCATGTGTTTCTACAATTTTGAACTGGTTTACCTCTTTGAGACAGACTTCCTCTAAACATGATTGTGAGACCCAGCAGGATTTTTCAAACTGAGCAAAACTAAAAGCACTCCTTCCACTAAGCCGTTGTTTCTCATATCCCCTGAGTCCCACCATCCTGAATTCCACTTGACCCACATAGCAGTCATTTGACCCATCCGCTTCAGTCCTCAAAACCAGTATTTGTATGTCCTCTTTTTTAAATGTTATGTTAAATAGCATATTCTTCATACAAAGCAACCCAGTATTTTGTGAATTCTTAGGCAATCTGAGAAACCCTTTAGTAAAGGTGAATTAGGGGGGAAGGTATTTCCGTTTTCTCCCTGTGATAACTTAGTTACACATATAATCTGAAATAGCACACGTGTTAGAGTCACCTCTTTTAGTACTTCACTTTTACAACATTAGATTATAGTCTTGTTCCAAGTGCCCTCTTCTTTTCTCTTCACTCTGCTGCTCCATGCCCTCTTTTTCTCCCCACTTCCCAAAAAAGAGGACTTCCACTGTCTTGATAAGACACCTGTTTCTGCCTTTTAGCGTAAGAAAGAACATTGTGTGTAAAGAACAGTATAAGAAAGGGTGTACTGTACAGTAGTATTTACCCAGGATAATCTTTCACCCTCTATCACTGTGTGGTTCGGGGGCTCGCTTTTTCAGAGATGGTGTCATTATCACTTGGTGGGGTTTTTTTGTCTATGAATTTATCAGTTTTTAAAAATTTAAGTACTCTTACAGCACCAAGAACAGCTTTTGGCAGGATTATCCTATTGCTAACATTTTGGTACCTTTTTTTAAAAGAAAGGTTTTTTTCCACCCCCAAAATTAAATTAAGGAATTAGTAAGCTTTTGTTGATCTTAACATTAAATGAAAAAATTTCACACCAGTTAGTTAATATCCTCAGTCTATTACAGTTCCAATACTGAGAACAAAGCATTAGGAAAACCAAAGAGAAGTCATAATTGGGAATGCTTGGAGGAAAAATAAACCATGTTACCATTTATAAATCTATACAGCCTGTTACGCAATTGTGGCTTTTCTTTTTTCTTTTTTTTTTTTTTTTTTGGTTGGATGAAACAGTGTTTAAACAATTTTTCTCTACAGGTTATTGACATGCCAGAACACAATCCTGGAGATATGGGTGGAACAATGAGACTGGGGAAGAGGAGGACTGTTTTCAAAACACAAAATTCTGTTTTAAGTAAGTTAGACTTCTGCTCTTATGACTTGTCTTTTGGATAGGAACCCTGTAATATGGCAAAGCAAAAACGCCAAAGCGCATTTTGTTAAAGGACTACAACCTCAGGCAAGCAGCTGGATGACAGCTTCCCCGAGCTAATTCACCCTGATCTTGTTCCCATGTACATTTACCCAGGATCAGAATGTAAAGAAAGAAATGAGAGGCATCTGGAAGTCCCAGTGAAAAGGTCAGTTAGGGTCCAAGCTTTAAATAAACAATGAGGAGACTGTTGAGATAACTGAAATGCATTTTTTGGTAGTTTAATTCATTATTTTCTTGGGAAGACCAGAGCATTTTCTTCCTATTTTCTTTATGAGTTGATAGGATGTGTGAACCAGAGCTTCTTGTTCTACCCCTGAAGCTTTTTGGTAGAACTAACCCAAACTCCTACCTGTTATGCTCTTGCCAGACCTAAACATTGCTTGTCATTTCCTAGAGTTGCCAGTACACCTCAGCCTTAAACGTCATCTGGCCTCGCTGCCTTAGTCCTCAACTTGTCTTGACAATGTTTGCTAGTTTGTATCTTAATTATAGCCAGGCCCTGCTTAACTCCAGTCTCTGATCCAGCACTGCCCTACGCCTAGCCCAGCCCTGGAAACAGTCTTGTTTTGGGAAAGCAAACTATTTGTTATAGGAAAGGAAAATTATTTGCTGTAACAGGATGCTTCAAAAGGTAAAATAAAAGCAACCAGAATATAGAACAAATGATTCAATTTGATCTATATATATTTTTAAAATGAAGTAACGCTTGTCTCCTATTAATCAGCCTATTATACAGTAGTAATATGAGTAATGCTGAAAATGTGTAAAGAGTGGTTTCTTGTCCATCGATAAATATGGGCATATTTCTTATATTGCCCTGCTCCTGATATTGATCTGAGCTATTACTATATTCAGCTATGTTGAACTTACGGAATGTATCGTTCTGAGCTTTTATCAGGAGACCAAAGTGTAATACATATGCACATTTAATCAAAAATCTGCCTTTCTAGAGAATGCCCATGCTAGTGATCTGACTGACTTGGGTGATACTTTGCGTAGGTGTGATATAGATATGCATATCACAATGTACAAGTTGTTCTGTGGCCTAAACACTTCTTGGAAAAGTTAATAAAATTAACATGTGTTGTAACTCTTGACCAGTATTATGAGTTGTTTAGATGACCATATTTATCAAAGACTCATAGAAAGCTATGGTAGTTTACTCAGGAAATCTGATTCCTGTTTCTAATGCTTTACAACTTGAATGGAAATAATGGTTTTGAAAAGGTGGTTCCTTAAAATTAACACATATACCACTTTTTGTAAAATTGCAGTACTATCACACTGCAACTTTTGGAGATCTTCTTGGCAGTCTAGTTCTTGTACCAACCCCTAAGCGAGATAGTAATCCTAATGACATTGGGATAAATTGAGAGCAAAGTTTAAGCTGTGACTGTAAGAAAGAGATATGATTAAATTCTGGTTTACTGCATACCTCTAACTTACTCCTTGTTGCTCTGGAATGTAGTGTGTTCCAGATTAGGCTCAGAGGACTGCAAGAGTCATTTGGGTAACGAGATCAGGAAAACAGAGAAAACCAGTATTTTCTGTTTGTCATTGGAGGTATTATGCCAGCTGCCATGCATAATCTGTTAAAATGGAGCAGATGCTATTAAAAGGCTTCCTTCACTGCACCTTTTGCGTACAACTGTTAAAAAGCCTTGAAGGGATTTTATGTTGCTTGTTCACTCAAACTTTTTTTATTTTATTTTGGGCTTTACAATTTAAATTAGTTTAAGCATGGCCTTCAGACTCTAGTCTACCTAAGCTATTCTGGTCAAGGAATGTTGAATATGAATCCTGAATAAACTCGGGTAACAGTAAATTAAAAGAAACTAGTCATCACTCAGAAAAACAGAAAGCTGGAGTGAGATGAATAGTGTCCTGTTATGTTTTACATGTGAAATTTTTTTCAGGTTTAAATTACAAGAAATAGTTGTAACAACTATTAAAGCAACACATTAGCATTAATTTCTTTTTTGTTGTATATTCAGGGAAACTTTATGGTGATGAAATGTTTGTAGAGGAGCGACACAGGCATCGATATGAGGTAAGCACTGCTAACGTACTTTGTGCTCAAAAGTTAAAGCTTAAGCAAATTGTGTTTCTCTTGGTAGGCATAATTCTCCTTAAAGCCAACGGGAGATTTCTTACATAAACATAACCCCAAATTTCGTAATGGTTAGTATAATTTAGATTGAAAGAAACCTCTGTAAGTCTTCTGGTCCAACTCCCTGTTTGGAGCTGAGCCAACTTCAAAATTAGATCAGGCTGCTCAGGATTTTGTCCCATCTTGTTTTGAATCTCTCTGAAGAGAGAGATTCTACAACATCTTTTGACAATCTCTTCCAATGCTTAACCACTTCTTTATGAACCCTTTTTTCTCGTATATCTAATAGGAGAGTTCCTTGGGCAGTTTGTCTTTTATCTCTGTCTTGTGCTGTGCATCTCTGAGCAGAGTCTGGCTAAGTGTTCTTTATATTGTCCCATTAGTTGAAGTCAGCAACGAGATCCACTCCTTGCCTTCACTTCTCCAGGCCGAACAAATCCAGCTCATCCAGTCTCTCCTCCTATGTTGCATGTGGTCCAGCCCCCTTAACCATCCTGGTTGGACCTCCTATGGACTTGCAACATTTTGTCAATCTCTTTCTTGTACTGAGGGGCCTGAAACTAGACATGGTATCACAGAGGTGTCCTTGCAAGTGTTCAATAGAGGGGAATAATGTAGAGTACTGTCTCTGTGGTAGAGAAGGTGTAGTGTCTTAGCAAAATGGTCTTGGAAAGTGATGTCAGAGATTACCTGACTTGACTTCCTGTGAAGTATTTGAAAGGTAAAGGCTTATAATCCTTAAATGCATTGCTCCTTGGCTGATTTGGCTTATTTAAAGGCTTAGATTATGTTCAGGTAGTGCACATTCTTTCATAGTCTAAATGTAGGCAGACTTCAGGCATCTAGAACTCGGAGGCTAATTCAAATCACTTGCTTCCTATCATCCAACTTTGTAGGCACTTTGTTTAGGTCCACTCTTCTGTTTGAGAACATCTGAGCAAAGGTGTCTGTGTACATTCAAAATACTGTCATTCAAGGAGACAGGCAAGAGCTGGACTCCTAGAGTTATCTCTGAGATAGTTCAGAAGGGACTGGCTTCCAGCAGTATCTCCAGAGGGGCCTGAGCTGTGAGATGTGAGCGTGCTACAAACTGATTCAGACAATGTTAAGTCTCCTTAAAAAGCTGGGAGGAGAATGTGATGGTAGTAAAGGTACTTAGAGTTTGAATATTAACTGAGTGGTTAGAACATCACCAAGGAAATGAAACAGCTCACTGCAGAGCTCCTCAGTTTGAAGGAGGAGCTGAACCACAGCTTGTGTCATAACCACTAAAATGCAGCTTTCAAAGAGGAGGTCAGTCTTTATGCCTACTGTAGTGGGCTGTTTAAAAAACGAGGAATGCAAGCTGCTCAGAATCAGGAGGACAGCAAGCAGAAGGGACCCTGGCTTTAATGTTTTGAGTGTTATGTAGTAAGTTTTAAAATTACTGATTCATCTCATTAAATAAGCATGCCCACTTTTACAAATTTATGCCAGAAAGTTGTTAAAACAAGAAAGCAGAAGTTCCCAACCCTTTTCTCAATTCTTTTCATTCTTGTATGCATACTAAAAACGTTAGAATTAACTATTACTGTTTGTTAAATCAAAAAATAAATAGAACTACAATTATTACTACTTTCAATATTTCAGGTGAACCCAGAATTGACTCACTGCTTTGAAGAGAAAGGTTTGAAATTTGTTGGCCATGATACGGAGGGGAACAGAATGGAAATTATTGAACTGGAGAGTGAGTGTCTTACTTGTCTGTAGTACTTTCTGCATCTATTAAAACCATGTAAACTATAGGTTGTTAAATGGCATGTATGCACAATATTCAGCTGTCATAACAACCAAGATCATGTTGGAGAATACTGCTGACTCCACCTATGTATTACAATTAGTGAAGATTCAGAGGATGTTAGGAGAAGTCTTAAACTTCTCAAGGATTGTACGTATATTTGATTACAGGGAAAGACATGCTCCTTTTCCAAAACGTCATAATTCTAGCTCAGTGGGATTTGGCTATGTAGAATCATAGAGTGATTTAGGAGGTCATCTAGTCCAACCCTCTGCTTCAACACAGGGCTACCTTCAAATATAGATCAGGTTGTTGAAAGCCGTATCAGTCAAGTTTTGAGTATCTCCAAGTATGCTATTGGTTGGACTTCAAACCACTCACGGCTACTTTTTGAACCCAACAGTCCAGCCATTTTTTAACACACTTTGTAGTCTACCCATAGTCCATAGCTCCCAACTTGGATGCTAGGAAACCGTATGAAAAGCCTTGCTAAAGTCAGGATAAAGGAAGGCTACTGCTCTCCCTGCATCCAAAGACTGATTGTTCCCAAGCTTGTTGTGCCCAATTGTCTTCCTGTCCTTCATGTATCTGGAAATGCCTTGGAGGAGGATTTGTTTCATAATCTTGCCATAAACTGAGGTTAGGCTGAGTGTTCTGTAGTTCCTTGGATCCTTCTTTTTGTCTTTCTTGAAGAAGGGCGTGGTACTGCCTTTTTCGAGTCATCAGGGACCTCTCATGATCGCTTTGGCCTTTTAAAGATAAAAACCAGCTTCACGATGACATTGTCCTGCTCCCTAAGCACCCTCAAATATTCTTAGCCAGGTCCCAATAACTAATGTATGTTCAGTTTGCTTGAGTATATGAAATATGTATACATGCAATATAGCCAAAGTATAAAACATCACTGGAATATATTACCTAGAGAGGCTGTGAAATCTCCATCCTTGCAGATAGAGACCTTCAAAACTTGACTAGACAAAGCTGTCAACAACCTGATTTAGCTTTGAACTTGACCCTGCTTTGAGCAGGAGGTGGGACTAGAGACCTCCCAAGGTGCCTTCCAATCAGTTTGTGTCTCCTTCAGTTACCCTCTGTTTAAAATAATAGAAAAAAGTATGAAAATCAAATAGAAAGCAAGCTCCTTTCCTTCACAGGTGTGATTCAGATAGATGAGGGTTTGATACCGTAGAAATCTGGTAGATTTGGACTACTTTACCAAGTAAGACTTGATGTCTTTTCTAAAAGATGTCTTGATGTCTTATTCTGAAATAAAAAGGAGTTACTCTGCATATGTTTGTTGAATGCTACACAGAGTATCTCTTAGAAACAATTCCTTTGATTTTGTTTGATTCTTTGATTAACTCCTTGCTGTTAAGTCACTGTTGGCTAGGTGAGTATCAGGCACCTGAAGATGCAGGCTTCCTTAGAAGATTTTTTTTTTTTTTTTTTTTTCCTTTTCCTATGTGGCCCCTAATTGCCATTGGTTAGGACAAACTCCATGCACAGAAACATAAATTTGTCATAAGAATACATTATCATCCTGTGGAGTCCTATTTGTGACATGATGCTCCTGAGAATTCATGTTGTATACTCCATGGTACGTTGAAGAACAGTGCTGTAATTTTGAACCAGGGTTTGAATATAGACGCCAACTTACAATGTCAAGCAACTGTGCCATAGAGAATAATTTGAGAGCAAAGGATACATGTGAATTCATAAACTACTAATTGTCATGGTGTTCTTTGCTTAGTTTATTCCTGATAGATGACCTCTGTTATGCGTGCTGGTGTTGGGAGGCTATTTTGTCTGCTCTGCATGAAACAACACCTATAGAGAGCATCGTGAAATAAATCAGGCAGAATTTTTAAATTGCATGTTACTGTGAAAAGAATAAAAGCAGCAGTAAAACCTGGAATAATTTCACAATGGGCCGCAAGGAGACTCTGATTACTAAAGAAAAACAATCATAATAGGGAGGAGGGTGGGTTGGAGCGGAAGCACAGAAATAACAGTACACCAGATAGCTTAGGCAAAGCTTTTAAGCAAAATATCCCAACAGGAAACATTTGATGCTTTGTCATTGTCTTGTGTTACAGCTTTAAAGAACTAAATTGCATGGTAGAGAAAGAAGTTATGGAATAAATTTAGGATCCAGGTTCTCTGTAAGACATAGCAGCAGAGAGAAGGGCAGTATACTAGATCATATAGTTTATCCTCATAGGAGAAAAACCCAGCTCTCTTGTTATCACTTGTTCTGTACTGCAGAGAAATTCCTTGAATGTTTGGGATTATTTTGGAAATTGTCAAACCAGAAGAGATCTGTTGTCAATTTCATCCAGTGTCCTGGCACTAGAAGTGGTTAATGTTAGCTCCTTTAAAACAATATTCAAAGAAAGAACAGGTGCACAGCGTGGAAGAGTATGAAAACATTTTTCCTTCCTTATCCTTTCAAAAAAGACAGAAGGGAAGCAGAAGCAGTAGTAGAGAGGTGCTTTGACTGGGAAACAGAGAGCTGAAGATTTAAGAGAAGATGAAGCAGCATGGCTTGTTTAGCTTAGCAGGCAGAGTTGAATGATGGTGATATTGTCATCCTTAATCACACAGGCCAAACAGCAGGAAAGAAGAGCACCATAAGAAATGCATATAAGTTGGCTGTAACAAAGATGGCCTGTGAATTAGGAAAAGGTTTCTAAGCAAAAGGAGAGGCTATTAGAAGAGCTTTCTGGTGGGAGCAAAAAAACCTAGGGCAGAGCCTTGACCCTTTGTGCGTGAGACTACACAACGTAGCTGCATTCAGTAACAGGAGACTGGACTTAATTTCCCAGGAGATCCCTTCCAAGCCTAATTATTTGAAGCTTGTGTTCCCCAGTTTTCTCTGTATGTTGCTTTCATATCCATCTCTTAGGGTGTGAATAGTTGCTGCTTGGTCTTTTAGGAACTGTTTTATTTTTCCCTCAGATATGTATGGGTGCATGTTCTGAATATACATGCGTAAATGTATATTGGAAACCAAAATACTATGACAATAACATGATAAATGTAGACTTTGTGGTTGTTCCCCCTCCCCCCCCTTACATGTTGGTACAGGTTTATTATTCAGCTTTTAATTACATCATTGTGCATGTTAAGGTTGAATCACAGGATGGTTTTTACTTAATTTGCCTTACTAACCTTCTGGCTCTGTTAGTTGCTTTTCATGGAAAAAGTTAAGGTTCCTGCTGCCTCACCCTTAAATTCACCCATGCTGATTGGCTTCTGGACTCCTGTGTGAAATCTTCAACAAACTTTTTTCCTAACAGTTGTTCTACTGTCTTCTTCTTACATCTTATAATTTTCTTTGACATCTATCTTGTAGATCACCCATATTTTGTGGGAGTTCAGTTCCACCCAGAGTTTTCCTCAAGACCTATGAAACCTTCACCTCCATACCTTGGACTGTTGCTAGCAGCAACTGGGACACTCAATGCATACCTGCAACGTGGATGTAAATTGTCTCCAAGGTAATCTTTCTTACTTACTTGCCTGCAGTTTGACAGTCACATTTTTGGCGGGACTATCCCGTCCTTCAGTTCAGAAATCCAGAAGAGGAAAAGGAGTTCTTCATGTATTGATTTACTTGTACCTGTTCATGCCTGACATAAACCCCAGTGTAAAAGTATCTGTAAGTAGTAAGCACAGTTCCTGACTTCCTCATTTTCAGAGGCTATTAGGGCTAAAGCCAGATCCATACATTATAACCAGAAAGAAGTAAAAAACCTTTAGTAAATTCATGTGAAGTTAGTGGCCTCCTGTGTTAACTTCCATTAACAGTAGTTTTTGATTTGCTAGAGGATCAAGCAATGAAGTGAAATTCTTACCTAGTTGTATTTGAATGATGATAGTAACAAAAAAGAAAACACTGATTTTATTTTGCAGTAGCTAAATAATTAATACCATCTAGCAGAGACAAGTCTGAAACAAAACAGTTGGGATATCTTTAGACTTATGGAAGGGTTTGGATCTAGATCAAAACTGGATGGCTCAGCCAAACTAAAATCCTTTGTCCCAGTTCCCTTGGACACAGAGTTTTTGGTTTATTGAATGTAGCAATAGTTTCTAGCCAGTGTTAACTCATTCTTGTTTATTTCAATGATATTAATAACAGTTACAATTTCATTACAATAATAATAATAAGGAAGTCAGAGGGAAGCCTAGGGTACGATAACAAAAATAAAAATAAAAAAAAAAAAAGAAATCACAGAATGACTGAATAATAACACAGAACAGATCCAGCTCTGGCTTACTGGCTTTTCCTCTAAACAAGCCACCAAAGTTACTAGTTTTGTGGGTGGTTCTTTTTTTTTAGCATTGCTTTCTATTAAAATGAAGTCCTTTTCTTAAGCGAGAAATAGAAATTTTATTTAGGTTGCAGTAGTAATGGAAAATAGCCAAGCCAGACCAGCTCAATCTATTTTGATACCTTGCTCCTTATGGGTATCAGTTGTCTTTCATAAATGCACTTCATCTTTGCTCACCCTGGCCAATTGTGCAATGATGTACATACAGAGAGAATTTCTTTCTGATCTGCAAACTACAGCTTGATTGAAATACTCCTGTTACCTTAGTCTGTCGTTGTTATTAGCGGTCATAACATTATCTACCTCTTAAAATTTGTGCCAGTGCATTACACAGGTCAAGTTTTTGTGGTGCTTGGCAGGAGGGAGTCTTCAAACACAGTGATCTTCAGCCTTTTCCTCTTGTGGGCACTCTCTGCCTCACAGTTCATCTTGTTTCCCAGGTCCCAATATCCTTTCTTTTACTGCTTCCTCCCATAAGTATACATATTCGTCTCTCCAGGATAAAGAAAAAATACTTTTTTTGAATGAGTGATCTGCTTGCTAATTTAATGAGTGTCTTGCTAATTTAAATTTAAATCCCTTAGCATTATAGCAAATATGTTTTCTAACCTTGGCTTTAAGTTTCAGCAATTACTGAATGTGCCACACTTACACTTCTTTGAATTAATCAATAAAACGGTATACCCAGCTTTTTTTCTTCATGTTCATACAGTAAACTCCAACCAACACTTAAACATTTAGCAAAGACAAAAATTCATACCCCAAAACTTTATATATAAAAATACAAATTTTCCAGTTACCTAGTTACACAGCAGTCAGGCAAACCCTCTGTCTTGAGAAAGAGCATTGGAATAGGAAAGCATTTTGAGGCTAAAAGAGGAGCGTTTTGCAGGGAAGAACGTTCAGAAGGGAATTCAGTGCTAATTACAGCACACCCACTGATTAACATATCCACCTGCTGAATGGAAAGGATTTCCAATTTACACCTTTAAACCCAGAGTGGTAGTGATTTCATTGAGCAGTAAAGCTAAGGCATGTCATAACAAGGCTGAAACAAATCTGAGGAGAGGATTTTCTGCACACCTCATCCAGTACTGCCTACATGAATTGTAGTCATGCTGTTGACTGGAGCAAAGATGTAACATGAAAGAGAGTTTGTGGAAGCCAGCACCTTGAGCAGATTACCTAAACTAGGCTATAAAAAACACTAAAAAGAGAGTTAATGACGAAGTCCTGAGACAAAAGGAAATACATATTTCAGCATGAGATTCTTAACAGCAAATCATTACCCCAGAACATTTAACAGCCCCATAATTAGGATACAATTTTAGAACACCTGACACCTGGACAGAAGCCGTAGCTTCTAATCAAAGCAAACAGTAAATTTGAAGATGCATCACACCTCCCAGGAGAGTGCCCTAAATAAATAAAAACGAATAAACCTTCTCTTAAATTTTTGTGAGGCCTACTCTCATAGACATTCTGAGAATGCTTACAGATAGGCATGAGCATACCTAGTTTGAGACTGGAATGCATCCTCTGGCGTAAACTTAGTTCCCAGGAGCTTTGGTGTGTACAGAGACAGTCAAGAACTGAGCAAAGGATCGGCATAACTCAGTGATGACTTATTACTTAGTTACCTGAAGTGGTAGTTGGGCATCTAAGTTGCCTTTGTGGTTTCAGCCTCTAGTGCATTATGGCATGAGTGCCTAACCATCAGACAAAGCCATGCACTTCATTTCGTTGTGAATGCTTTTAAGTCATGACCTTTTCCAAACCTTTCCATGGAAATACTGAATTCACCATTTCATACGGAGCTGAGGAAGGTGAGAGGCTGCCAGTTTAGATGTTTCATTTTAAAGGACAGAGAAAACTAGAACCATAGGAGACTCTCAGAAAGTGTACAATACCCACAAATACGCTGCTGTTTAAGAGAAACCAAAAGGTTTTAATAGAAAACTAGTGGATGAAGAGGGGAACTTCACATGTAATGTTGTTGGCTTTTACTGAGTCTTACAGAGTTTAATTTTGAAAAAGTAATAAAAACTGGCTTATCTTTGGGAACAGTGTCATATGGATTGCAAAACCACTGATGTACAATAAAGCCATGTTGCTGTTTTTTTTTCCCCATAGCAAGTTTAGCTTCAGCAGGCTTTATTTCTTCTTTCCCCTCAACCAACATCTTCATTAATGGCCTGCAAGAGTAGGCCACAGTGCATTAATGATATTTGTAAATAATGTCATTTAAATAAGAGCTGAAAGCACTATTCAGAACAAAGAAATAACAAAAATATGTAGGGAATTTAGAAACCTGTGCTGAAAGTAATGAAATCATGTGTTTCTTTGGAGGAAGAGGGTAACAAGCTAAAGATAAATAATTTGAACACAAATGTCCAGTAGATGGGAGGAAATGTAGGAAGTGAGAAAACTTACTAGATGAGAAAGTGTGGGCAACTAGGACTACCACCAAAAGAAATTTTTGCAAGTCATTAGTGAATATGCTAATGTGAGGCACCAATCCAGTGCCATCTAGTCACAGAATACTCTGTTTAGTTCTGGGCCGGTTATTAATAAAAGATGATTTACGAGTTGTATTCAGAGACAAGGAACAAAAGTGTCCAGAGGACAGGAGTGATGCATAAAGAAAAAAACCTCAGAAGACTTGCCAGTACGGTGCTTACTGAACTAACATGGTCCAACTATCTCCCAAATTAGCTGTGTAGGGAGGTTTGGGCAAGCACCTATAAACAGAGTAGGAAACAGCCTGTGTGACATGTTCTGGTGTATGAAGGACAAAGAAGATATGGGCAGGGCTCTCTCTGATGTCCCCTGTACATTGTCCCCAACCAAGAACACATCTGGCACAGCATCTGTGTTTCTGCCATTGGCCAAATCCAGACATTTCAGAGGAAAGTGAAGGAAATGTTGTGGTTTGAAGACTGTCAAGAGAGCAGCAAGAGAGGGGCTGCTCCACAAAAGAAGACAATCCAGGAGCCAGGGGTGGCAACTGTACTGGTAGGGGTAGTGTCCTCATCAGCAGGAGTCACTACCACCATCGCCAAAGAAGGCAGGCGGACTGGCTCCAGTGACAGTCACCATGTCCTACAGACAGTGCAGAAGTGCAAAGTGATGAATTAGGTCTGAGGTCAATCCAGGAAGTCCAGTCAACAAGTGACTACAGAACTACAGAGATGGCTACAGGCATGCCTGCAACATAGCTCAGGCAAGGATTGGGACCTAAGGCTCCTGGGCCCATCGTGGAGGCCTCAGGTGAAGATGGTCAGGGCAGCTAAGACCTGTTGGTACCCTCAGAGCTCTTACAGAAAACTATAGAAAAAGCTTTAAAGGAAATCCCTTCTCAACCATAATGGTACTTAGTGATGAACTTAGTAATGGTTAGTTGTGGCAGTTACTTTGTCATTTTAATGTAAGATGTTTACAGTGAAGACACTTCTGAGCTAGTCACCCCAAGTCTTTTTCTGTAGTCGCTAAGTGAATATGCACTTTACAGGAGCCAAATAGCTCATGATAATGGTTAAGTGTGTCAGAAGCATTATACCCTACAAGTGCCTGTTTCTCTCCATTGATTGCAAGAAGCTGGTGGTAACTATCTCAGATGAAGATGTCTAAAGCTGAATGAATTGAATCCCATGCATGAGACTCAGCTGAGATTTTTTTATAACACCCACATATGTTCTGGCATCTTTGTTGTGATTTTTGTAATGCTGGGTCCTAATAAAACCGTTATCCTAAGTCCAGTTATCTGAGTGCAGATGTCTGGCAGGTTGGAACTGGGGAGTCTTAGGTATGTGCTGAGGGATTCTTTAATGAAATGATGTTTCATGGAAGCATAGGATCATATAATGATGGTGATCATTATAAATGATACGTGATCATTTTTACGATCATAAAAATATGCACTGAGAAATATGCATGACTGCAGTTATAACCATTGCACAAATACACATTTATATTACTATATAAAATATATATATCATATATGTTATTATATGCATTATTATTTTAAATAATGTTTTAATGACTGTAATAATTTTAATCATTCAGCTTTTTGTGGGGGGAATAAGTAATAGTAATTGACAGATTTCTTTTTGCTAGGTTCTCGAAAGCTGTGACAATTGTTTGTTTTAAACAACCACAGCCTGTACTAAATGTAATTACATTTATCTTTAATTTGCATTGAGGAAGAAATGCACTTAGCTGGGCTCCTGCCTTTGCAGGGAATAGCATTACTGTAACAATTGTTTAAATTGCTTACATTTCTGGAAAAGGACTTTTTGTCAATTATACGTTAAAAAAGGATGAAAAAAGCCCCTCTGAAACTGCGTCAAATACTTCGTTTCTAAAGAATGTTGATCTGGATTTTCCAAGGAGTTCAAGAGTACGTTCAAGGAGTACCCATTTTACAGATGCCTGTGTTTCTTAATAAAAACATTGAAAGCAGGCAGTTTGGTGCTTTTGAATGGCTGTTTGAGAAATATAGGTTTAAAACTGATCTTGAGTCTTAATTCTAGTGGTTTTACAGCTGAGATTGGTTGCTGAGGTGATGCATTCCAGCTTCATGCTGTGTGGCCCTAGCTATCGTCTGCCTTCCGTACCATACCAGTAGGCAATCTTCTCATCTTGCCTCCTTCCGTGCTTCAGACTGATGCATAGCAGAGGTGTGATGATACCTGTCAGTAGAACAGAGAGATCTGAAAGGGGCATGAATTTGGTAATAATGGAACACATGTAGGGGGAAGCTCTTTTTATTGCTTATGTCTTGAGAAGATGGGGATCTGAGGATGAGTGAACTTTAAAACAAAACAAAACCCCGTAATGTAATTCCTCAACAGAGGATGTTTTTCTTGCTCCAGTCGGGAAATATATTGCAGTTCACTGCAAAGTGAAATACCAGCTAGGTACTGGTTGAAGTTTTACTTTGCAGTCAATGTATTTCCATTAACTACAGGTAGATTAGGTGTAAGGATCAAAGTGACCAAAATTCTTCATCTTGAAGACCGAAGTGACTGACTAGATGCAGTGACACTGCATACTCTGAGTTTTGTTCTGTTTTTCTCTTGGCCACATCTTTATACTCCAGATTCCGTGAAAAAAAAAGAGACGGAATAAAACCTCTGTGATGGCCTTAGATCTGCTCACTAGTTCCTTTGTGTTGCAGTCCACTGTTGTGGGAATGGTTACAAACAAGATGAAGTGGGTGTCAGGTTCCTACCCAAGATAGTTACTTATTACTTTGTACACAAACTGAGAGGAAACTTGCTGAAGGAAATGTAAGCATATTTTTTCAGTTGAGGGCTCAGTGTGAAGAAGAATTTCATAGAGGAAAAGCCAGGCTTACGTGATTTCCCACCGCCACCACTTTCATAGCCAGCACATTTAAGTAAGATTACATAATATTAGCAACTGTGAGCACAAAATATCCATTTTGTGTTTAATATCTGGGTAGCAACTCCATGTAATTTGGAAGGAAGTACGCATTTATTGCTAAAAGAGGTGATGACTCATTTGTGGTTAATACCACCTGGGGTTTTTCTTCAGATTATTTATCAGTTGAACACAGTTCATATCACAGTAAATCTTACAAACTGGACATCAGCACTGGTTTGAAGCTATAGCACCCAGGCGCAGATATTCCAAGATTCATGAGTCCCTGTTTGCTTTAAAGTCCACCGCACCGGCAGCTTAGCTCTTGAAGAAGTTCAGGTTTCCTTGGAGCCCAAGTTCTTGTTAACATGATGCCACAGCTTCTGGGGGTGCTTAGAGATATCATTCAAGCAGCTGAAACTGTGAGACTGACAGTTACCTGAGTCTGAAGCCCAAGGGCTGACCCTTACCTTGGCATTTCCCCTACCTTTCTTGCCAGTGTGGCCTGCCTGTTAGAAACAAAACTGACTTTACACCCAGCAGGACAGCCCTAAAGTAGGGAAGACCGTGAGGTGTTACTGTAAAACAGTCAAGAATGCTGTGTCCAGAGCCCTACTCTGGGATGTGGAGTCAAACCGTGTACTGAATTGGGCAGTGTGGGAACAGGAACAAAATTGTCATCGGCAAAGTAAGTGTTTTAGCCTCTGGGCTAGTGGATAGCCAAGTGACCTTCAGCTTCTGCAAACTGGAAACAGGCCTGGGAAGTTAGGGTGGTAAGTCAATGAAATGACGGAAGCAACCAGCATTGTGTGACTGCTTCTATGGGCGAATGCCTTTAAAACCTATGTCATTGAGTGGGGGAGGACCGATGATGAGAGTGCTGGGTGGGGATCAGCACCTGACTGTCTTAAAGAGATGAAGCTGGGCACTCACCTCATTGGTCCCTGAGCATTTTTACTGAAGCATCTGCCTCCCATACTGTGTTGTATATGGAGCCCTGGCATATGTTTTTGGGCTGTGACTGCCACTGGGCAGCAGAGCTGATTTAAAAAAAAAAAAAAAAAGTCCTCTGAAGACTTTGGGCTTAAACCAGGGTTATCATAAGATTACACAGCTCTGTACAATCACAGTTTTACCCTGTGTTCTGTGGACAATTTTTGCTATTTTGCTGTGATGTGAAAATGCAAAACTGTTTTAATAATACTGAATTTTTATTCCATGTTTCCGTGGGTACTTTCAGAAAGAAGTAAGTACAATGTCGGTGACGTTGTGTTTGTCTGTGTGCATCTGGCATGCTTGATCATACTGTTAACACCACTTTCCTCACTTGAACTGTGTAATTGTTTGCCAGCTGGTGAAATGATCAAATTGAGCATTTTTCACTAGCCCGATTTGACACACTCTTTATAAGAACCGCATCAACAACACGCGTGTCATGTGAAGAAAGGGCAGAATGCTGTAGGCAGCCTTGATGTTAGAACAGTCGGAATATCTATGCTGTCTTGTGCAGAACTTGGTATAGTGATTTGCTGTAACTGTGGGAGGCTTTCCTAACAGTTAGAGGTAGAAATTAAATGAGATGACTGTTGGTGCCACTCCTCCTGCCCCACTCTATTAAAATGGGTGTGTTTTTACCTAATCCCCCCCCCCCCCCCCAAAGAAAAGAGGGTGAAATTCAGGCTACAAAGGAGTGCTCAGTAACAAGCACCAGTATTGCTGAGTGCAGTTTGTTCGCTGTTCCACGTTGCAGTCTAGATCAAAGATCTCCAGCTGCGGGGTTACATAGTTCCCCTTGAAACATTACACAGCAGGCAGTCACTGCGGATCAACTGATGAGGCTGTGTCTAGGTGGGTCGTGGGCTGGTTAGGTGCTTGATGTCTCAGTAGGAGATCATGCCCGGAGGTGGGGAGCGTGACGTGACTGAGGTGCTGTTGGTTGGAGGATGAAGGTGTGTGTGATAAAAGATGTGACAAGACACCTGGTGTGCAGTGGCTGGAGTAGAGTTGGTACCCAAGGCTGACACTGGTGTACCCACACAGACGAGGTCTGAGATCCCCACCTGTACTGTGTTAACCATAACCTGCTCTCTGAAGTATCACAGAACTGACCAGAATTATTGCTGCTCAAATGTACTTGTCAGTTCTCTGGGCTCCCGTTGCTGGCTTCTGATCTTGGGAAATTCAAGTATCTGGAAAACAGGCTGTAGAAGTGAAGTGTAATAGGGGGAGGTTGAGTCTGGAGGCTCTTCTGAAGAGGTGCAGTTTGCGCACTTAGAGTTAAGATAAACCTGGAGACACGGTAAGAGATCACAGCTGACTGAAAATATCGTTTGTGGGCACTTCTTTCTCTCAGTTGCTGTGGTGATTCCTGTCCTTCGCTGTTTACTTGTTCTGGCCACTTATAAAATGATCACTTGCATGGCAGTTTGCTCTGTGAAAACCAGTCTACTTCTCTCAGGAAACAGCAGAAGGGGATAAAACCTCAGGAAAAACTGTCAGGATATTGCTTTGTACAATGAAAATGATTTATGTTCTGACTGGAAGAGCAAGAATTGTAATTTAAGTATAAATTGAAGCATTCTGAGTAAAGAAAGTTAAAGTTGTGTTAACTTTTTCTTTGGTCAAAACAATAATTTTCTTTATTATAAAGAAGAAATTCCTTTTAGTCTTGCTCTGAATACCTGTTATTCTCCATGTTGTTAATCATGGTCGCAGGCACACAGCACCAGCAAACTGTAGAATGAATATACAGGAACCAAGCAAAAAGAAATTGAACATGCTGTTTATACTGTAGAATATTTTTTCTCATGAGGTCTTAGACTCCAAACTTAAGCCTGTTCCTGTAGAGGAGGGCGTTCTAAACTACCAAAATTGAGCATGAGCTTAAAGTAGTTTTCTGGAAATGGGTTGCATTTGAAGAAAGTGTTGGTCATATGCATCATCTGGGTTGGAGAGTTTGAAATAAAATATTTGTTTTGGATCCTTGTGACTATGTATTGCTTTTAACAGTGACAGTTACAGTGACCTCAGCGATGACAGCTCTCCAGAAAAAGAGTTTCCTAATTCAGAAACAAGCTGAAATGATTGTATGAGATCACAGAAATGGGTGATGCTGTTGAGGTAAACTGAATCGCTTTGATACTGCTTTATGACATTTATTTCTTCAAGTCTTAAAACAGGAGACAAAGTTATCTTGATTCTCCCTTTTGTTTCAAATCCCATCTGAGAGCTTATATTTTCTTCCTTGCCTGCAGCACTTAATTGTTTTCCTCTTCTGCTGCTTAACTCTGCAATTGTGATATTAAAGTCTGCTAAGTGTTTTGGGTACAGTTTATATGTAGAATGCTGTACAAAATCAAGTTGAGTTAGTGTTTGAAGATACAATGAAAATACATTTTAAAATTGTTTTTTTTTTTGTTACTTCAGTTTGCAAGTTTGGATCACTTTGAGTACACTATCTTGACGTTTTTATTTGTTTTTATTTTGCATTAATATTCACATGTAATTGCATTTGATGCATTGATACAACAAAGACATCCCAAGATAAATACTTGGATTTCATCTGCAGAATGATAGAGATACAAACAAGTTTTATAAAATTGTAGCTTTGTTTGCCATAGGCTTTGCCAAAGTGATGTTGGATTGGTTGTTTTTTCACCTGTAATCATGGTAGCCATAGATTTCCTTTCAGTTTGGAGATTTTATTTCCTGTGAGACACCTGATCTCTGCAGGGTCTGGGTTTGAATCTTAGTCTTACTGTATTTTCCTCCACAGATACATCAGAGTTGTGCCTTGTATAGTACTCCGATACATGTGTGCGTTCATGCTTTTCAGTATTTCTGAGCACTTCTGTAAGCAGGACACAACTTTCCTCTCTGATTTTATTCCTCACATGTGGTGTAGTCACTAAGCAGCTGTGCCAAACAGATGATTAAGGCTGCATATGAATGATGCATTTCTGCCTGATGATCTCCTGATTAAAATACTGGCATGAGATGCTAGAAATTGGAGTTTAGTCCTTAGCCGCAGCATGGATTTCTTCTGTGATTTTTAATTAATTTATTTTTCCCTCTCATGTACCACATGTTAAAGATAATAACACATCCCCAAATCATGAGAGTGGAGAACAGAATGTTAAAAGATTTCATGACCTGGGGCATGCAGATGCAGTACTGATGCATGTCCTAGGGTGACCAAAAAATAAGTAGACAAAATGTTCTTTGCCACTCTTGCCCGTACCCTTCCCACCTCCAAACGTCACTATGGCTCTGTTTCTTGAGACCAACACATAGTACAGGACAGCCCCTTTAGCTTTGACCTTGCTTTCCTCAATGGAGTTTATGAATGGTAATTCTCTGTTTACCATTGCAGATGTGACTTGGATGAATATACTTTTGTGATGTTTTTAAGTAGTTAGTAGTCAAGCTGATTTTGTTTGAACATATCACTAGTAGATACCAATTGTGTTCAACAGAATCACTCTAGAAAGGATTAAATAACTAATTCCAGATATAAAAGAAGGATAGAAGCATTGGCTCATTTATTTTTATCTCAGGGTTAATTCTACCATTAATCAGAGCTGGATGCATGTGTAGACTATATTTAGCTTTGTCGTTTTGCTTTATGCTGTTTGACCTAGATGAAATGCACCTACTTGTAGTATTTACCATAGGACTACTTTGAAGTCAGTCAACGGATTTCAGAGAAACTGACATAAGCATGAAATAAACTGAGTTACAGAAGAACTATTTTTAATCATTAATTTTTTTCCATTTATTCTTCCTTCCCCTCCCTCTTTTTGTGTTACAGAAAGTTGGGAACAGGACAATATTGAATAGAAGAAAGTAGAAGAGTAAGCTGCTTATGGTCCTCATAGTGTTTCCTCCTATACTGTTTTCAATAATTCTCTTTACAGATGGCAGTTTTACTGTCCTGTAGTAAAAACTGTTCTGTATAAATGCTGTTTCTCTTTAAAAATGACAAAATAGTTGTGCACCTTAGCTGTTAATCATTATTGATCTTGTCCTATATTTCATAGTGATCTCAGGTGAATAGGTATTAATTCACTAGTTCACAACTGTTCTTGATTTGAAGGAAGATTTGATTGTTTTCAGTTCGCCTTAGAAAAGGAAGATAAAATGCATTAGTTCTTGTGAATGAGAGGGAATGCACTAAAAAATTTAAGGGAAAGTTGTCTTATCCATGAGCAGTAGAGAACTGTTTCAGGTTTGTTTCCCTATTAAGCTTGTTGTATATATATATTTTTTTACTTTTTTGCTGTTCAATATGTACAAATGAGAAATTGTTGCTGTATTTCAGCTCTTTGTGATTATAATAATTGATGTTGAATACAAGTCTTTTCACTTTGCTTTTATAAGTGATTTCACTTTACAAAAGTTCATTTGCTCTATTTCTCCTGAAAGTCTGATAATACTGAATGTAATTCTGACTTACAAAATTACAGAAGTGGTGTTAGAAGGCAGTTTTATATTTGTATTTTGTAAGAGAGAAAGTAAATACACTCATATGTTAAAATGTAATTTGAACACTTGTAAGAAAGTTGTAGAAGAACCAGTCATAAACCTGGAGCATTATCTGGGCTCCAGCCGTGCAACACTCAGTTAATTTCAATAAATGAGTATAAAGGTGAATTAAGGTTCACCCTTGTTTTCCCTCATCCAGTGACCACTCCATGGTCATGGCATTCATTCCCCAATAGAATAGAATGATGTATTTTAATTTAGAAATCACAAATTATTCCACTGCACGACAATTGCAGGCAGCCCTGCAAAGCCAGGACTAATGCCTGAATCACTGAGACAGAAGGGGAAGGCGAGAGGTGCTATGCTGTGTTTAAGGCTGGATCCCATTAGCAATGTGGCATCATCAGACCTGTCACAGAAGCTGGACCTGGGCGATGTAACTGACGGACTCCAAATACCTGAGGCACCCTTTCCTGTAAAGAAAACTTCTGAATTTTGAGCTTTGTGTTTCATTTTGGTTTTGGGCAAAGTGGCTTTTTTAATTCATCAAAAGGTAAATATGTGCACAGAAATAAAAAGTGCCATGTCCCTTACTACAGCTTTGTAAAAGAGTAAGTTTGAGAGCTTTGCATTGCTTTAGAAAATCTCAGGTTACACAGCCAATTTATCTCTTCACTAAAAGAAGCTTTAATAGTAATGAAATATAAAATGTATTCCTAAATTTTTCTAAAGTGGTTTGCAAATGCGTGCCTTAGAAATAGCAGGTATTGACAGAATTGGTGTCACTGTATGTCTTCCCCAATGAGAGACACTGGCCACTGGTTTGTGAAAGGTGAAGTATGTCCTAAGATTGTCTGTAATGTGCAAATGTATTTTCAAATATATTAAATTGTGTTATTCAGACGTGTTTAGCTACTGTGTTAAAGAATCATGGTGCCAATTGTGAACTATGGTGTCAAGGAGGGAGTTTTTCATTTAATCATGTCCCAGTTGTACTGTCTGTGAGAAGCTGTGATTTATCCAAAAAACTGAGGGGACAAAAAGACATACAACCTGGAGTGAAGCTGGAAGCAGCACGTTGATCTCCCAGCGCCCTTACCAATCCTCTTCCTGCTAACTGTGCTACACAAAGCAGTATCCTGGAGACAAAAGCATCACTGCCACAAGGGATCCATCTCCTGTTTGAGCTGACAGAAGCAGCAGCATGCCATTTCCAGAATGGAAGAAGGCAAATGAGCCTTTTCGAGCCAAATCCTGGGCTGCATTAGGAGTGTTGCCAGCAGGTCGAGAGAGGTGATCCTTCCCCTCTGTTCAGTCCTGGTGAGGCCACACCTGGAGTGCTGTGTCCAGTTCTGGGCTGCCCAGTACAAGAGATACATGGGCATACTGGAGGGAGTTCAGCAAAGGGCCACTAAGGTGATTAAAGGACTGGAGCATCCCTCCTGTGAGGAAGGACTGAGAGTGTACTGGTTTTGGCTGGGATAGAGTTAATTTTCTTCATAGAAGCTAGATTGTGCTGAAAACAGTGTTGATAACACAAGGATGTTTTCGTTACTGCTGAGCAGCTTACACAGAGTCAAGGTCTTTTCTGCTTCCCACCCCACCAGCGAGTAGGCTGGGGGTGCACAAGAAGTTGGGAGGGGACACAGCCGGGACAGCTGACCCCAACTGACCAAAGGGATATTCCATACCATATGATGTCATGCTCAGCATATAAAGCTGGGGAAGAAGAAGGAAGGGGGGACGTTCAGAGTGATGGCGTCTGTCTTCCCAAGTAACCAAGGGGAGCAGCATCCAAGTTTGAATGTCACTGTGGGGTAGGTATTGCACTTAACTGGTACTGTGGACAGAGCTGTATCTTACTGTATATTTCTAGTCAAGTATTGCATCTCAGCAGCATAGGTTCCTGTTTCACTGTAAGCTTTATACATGAAGTCCGTTAGCATCTGCTTAACATACTTTAACATGTACTACCTTGAAGCTGAGGTTTCTTTCCTAGTTTATTTAGCAGCTTGGAGAGATAACCTTCATGTGCTAATATAACGCCTGCAGAGGTTGAATGTAATCCTGAGACACTGAGGAGGATTTGCTTGGCCAACCAGACTATTCCTCATTAGGGAGTACTTGTGGAAGGGTGAGCCATATCCTGCACTAGCTTGCTGTTTTTCTGAAACCACTGAAGTGATGCCATATTCATATCCACAAAGTGTGACTTTGTTGATTACAGGGTGGTACCGAAGAGGGCTTACTGTCACCTGGGATTCATGGGACTCAGGCATGATTCTCCTAAATTCCTCTGCAGGCACCTAAGCCCTAGCTTGCCAGGAAGATGGTTTTGAGCACCAGCTTGAAACACTGGAGGTTTTGAGCAACAGCTTAAAAGTAGAGGCTCAATTCTCTGCAAGAACCTGTGTAAGCAGGAATTGCAGCCCCAAGCTAAAGGAAGTTTTCAAGAAAGAAAACACGGGTTGGCAGTGACCGCAAGGGCAGGGGCTTGCTGCCCAAAAGGGTGTGGAGGAGGTTAAGGGAGGATCAAGTATATGAGCAACAAGTGACTTACCAACCTGAGCTAACTTCTTCGTGGGAGCTATGTTACAGTTACCATAGCAATGCAAATGAAAGGTTCTCCCCAAACT